TGGCAACTACTTTTGCCATTACACCTTGTACGGACTGTACCAGAACGAAATGATACCAGCGGCAGTGGAAACCCTCGTAGCCCAACTCGGCACACCGATGAGAAGTGTTATCCTAGCCGTCTGGATGCGCGATTTGCTGTACACCCACGAACGGTATGCGACAAAATATGCCTTTCGTGAGGATCACATAGATCCCAGCGACGACGCGACCAGATTTATCAGCTGGTACCGACAAAAGAAGACTCTGCCTAGCGGATTTAACTCGTCGCCCTACGAACCTTGGATGTCGGACGACATTGCACCCGGCGCACGACCGTATGCGCTTCGGCTCCGAAAACAGGCGGCCAAGGAATCGAGAAAGGGCAGAGCGGAGCGTTCAGGCCAGGAAACCGATGAGACTGATGAGATGTCTCAGCGGGGTGGCTCGGCGACCTGCAAACCAAAGGACCCAACCATCCGACCGCATAACCGACCTGGCCCGGACGACGATGAAGAAGAAGATTACTTCGGCGGCGATAAACCCGTCGAAGTCCCACTCAGTTAAGGTCGGGTTCCCACACTGGAACTCGATCCCCCATTTGGAATAACTACGGGGACTTAACGCCGAGAAACGGCATGGTCGAGAACCGACCCGACTGAGAAACAGTCTAGCTGAGAAATAGAACCGTCGAGAAACGACTTAGGAATGGACACTCTTCTTTAGTTCTTTTCACAGAAACTGACTAACCATGTACGCGGTGGACGTCAACAACGACTTTGCCAGAATGCTGAAGTCAGCCGGATTCTTCGGTTTGACCCGGATACAAGTGGTTAGACCTGACAAGCCGGCCGTTTCCACCGCTCCGGTACGTCTTCCGAGGAATCCCCTGGACAGAACTGGGCAAACCGACCCCAGTTCCCCAGTACGGCAGGAACAGATCGTAACCACATCTGCTAACATAGCAGATCAACCACGTTCGGCGACCATCGGAGCCAACAGAAGCCCCAACCCGCGCTACATGGAGCCGACCGAGAGTTACATGGTACAGATCATGCCGGTAACCAAGGTCAGCTGTGAAGATTACTCCGGCCAACCGACTCCGGAGCATACACTGAGAGGATTACGCTAGCATGTTGCGAAATGCGTCACTGCGCGCGTTTCACAACATGCTTGCCGAGCACCCGTTGCCAACTACGGAACCGGGTAGCCGAGCAACCTTCACCAGTGTAAACAGCGGAAATCCCTCGGCCGAGCCGCCAACAGCGCAGGAAGACTCGGATTTGACTAGGTACTGGAGCCGACCACAAAGGTCGACTTCGTACTTTACCTACAACTCGGAAACATAACGGATACTGCCGCACCAGCCGACCACAAAGGTCGGTTGTGCAAGCCGATCACAAAGATCGGTTATGGAAACCCAGATTGTTCGACCTGCAACGACGCAGATCGTTAAACCACGATTCGCTACCTTTAGTCGACCACACAGGTCGACTGAGTAGATGGTAGCCGACCAACGAGAAGTCGACCATGGACGGGAGCTGGCAGTAGTAACGTGGCAACTTAACCGGATTCTCCGTTTGAATCCAGACTTACAGGCTCTGTACCTGGAGATCAACCGCAGTCTCCCCCGGAGGATATCGGGTAAACCAGCCGATTCACCGGTGACCACGACTACGCGCGTCGCGAACGCGCTGCCATTCCCTGAAGAGGAACAGCGACGGTGATTTGGATACTGGTGTACCAACGACTGCGCCGCGACCTGCTTCCCCATGTCTTTAATGGAACATCCTAGGCGGACCGTGTTAGAATACGCGATCTGCACCCCTTGAACGAACCTCGCTGACAAGGACCATGCGGCCGCAACACCAGTGGCAGCATTGCCTTTGTCAGCGGCAAAGAAAATTCCCCTCGTGGACGTGAGTCGTCTACCCCCAACAGAAGCGGCTAGGCGTCACAGGTTCGCGACAAAACAGAATGGAAGAAACGGATCTGACGACCTCAGGGACTTGCATGTGCATGAAGTTTAAAACCAAAGAGCTCGCCTTGGCAACCGGGGCCACAAAGACCCTTGACGTTGTAAGCGAGCAGCATTGCATGATGGAACGCCAGTCACTCGGCCAACAGATGCCAAGGAGAACTACCTCACAGGACTCGGCAACCCAGAGGTACGACGGCCAACAGTAGCTTGGATCCGACCCAGAGTTCACGCTAGTTCACACAGAACGAACGGAGTTGTGCTGCTGAACATCCTTCTGCCAGCCGGAGCTGACCGAAGGATGTCCAAACAACGGAAACCCGGTCAACTGTACCCGAATGCACGGAACTCCTAAGAGTGATCCGACTTGGAGCCTATGTCAGGGATGTAGCCACAGAAGAAACGGAGTTAGACTGCCGAATGTCTTTCAGCCAGTCCGAACTGACCGAAAGACATCCTGACAATGGAGACCCGGTCAACTGTAGCCGGACGCACAGAGCTCATCGGATCACGACAACCCGACAGGTGCCGACTAGCCCCACATGGGCGTCAAGGCGCAAGTCGTCTGGACAGACTCGGAACAGAAGTCGGACATCAGCAGATGGAGGTCGGAAGTATGCGACAACAGGTCGGCAAATCAACCCGAAGTAGCAAATCGACCTCCCACTGGAAGAACTTAGCTTTTCGTCGGATAAAACACAAAGTTTTTCCGACCTGAGGAAGTCGGAAAATAGCCGACCTCCCACTGGACACGGATATCCGACCTCAAGCCGAGGTCGGAAGTCAACGCACAGAAGACGGAAGGATATGACAACAAGTCGGCAAAGACATTTAGAAGTCAAGAACCGACCTTCTAACGGAAAAATCCGACCTTCGAACGGATGAAGACTTAGTTCATCCGACCTTCCGAAGTCGACCGTAACCGACCACATGTTGGAAGTCGGCGACATAGTCAACATGACGGAAGAAGAACGACAACTGTCTGCAGTGGACGAATTCGACTTGAAGGAACTTGTTTAGCCCCACATGGGCATGTTATTGCAGGTTAACCCTAGTCGACCACTGATGGATAGGATAACCGACCTCGACAGAAGGCCGGATAACAACGCAACAGATCGGATGGAAGCCGACCGAATACTTCCATCGACGAAATTCGTGAATTCCGACCGGACCTTCGAGCCAGTTCGACTCGGATTACTCCAAACCAGGCTCGTGGTAGCAGATTAAACGGTTGTAACCGACCACTTTTTGAACGGAACGGCTGTACATGACGACCACACAGGCCGCATGACTTACACACAGCTTTTCCGACCTGGACTTTCACAATTCGGAACATAGCCGAATTTTGCCCGCCACCGGTCGACATACCGGTAGGCCGACCTTGGTCAAACCGACCTCGGTCCTATTCCCCATTCAGAGAGGATGCCTCGGCATTCGCACAAGCAACAGTGCCTCTCTATCCCTGACGGACGGATACGAGTCGGAAGTAAGTGTTTAACCGTGCTTATCCGACCTCGGTGAATTTAACCGGTTACGACGGGTAACCCGGGAACCGATGCCCCGGACCCAACTTACCGGATGAAAGGGGACAGGAGACCCCGTGGACGTCATCCTAGTCGGAATAGGACCCCCGGACAGATTTTTGCATTTTTTTTAGCATTTCTCCTAACAAACGGAATTGTATTTTTCTAGTTCGATCTCTTTAACAGATCTGTTTTGTAACCCCTTTTGCTCACTGGAATTGTGATTAAACTTTATTTCATACTTTCTTTCGCGCTGTATACAACTTTCAATACATTTTTCTTTCACATTGTTCTCCGCTGCCAACAGAAGCAAGAAGCCAGCCAACAGAAGCATCACCGGTCCAACGAAACGCCCAAGCGGCTTCCGGATTTCTCGGCCGTGAGTGGTTTCCACTCATGGGTCTGGAAGTGAAGAAGGGACGGTCGACCAGACACCGGACTCCCACTGCTAGAGGACGCGTACCAGCGACCCCACATTGGGTCCGACTGGAGAGTTGTGCGGTACTGGTGCGGTACCGAGTCGGAGCATCCTTCGCAGGAGCTCGGATTCCCGCCCAGAGGCATGTCAGAGGCCCACGACTGCGCCTGGTGCGTACGGCCCACCATGGACGTACTTGCACTCATGCTTGCCGTTATCGCCTCTCTCGCTGTACGTACGTGTGCTGCTGCACTGCACTCATATCCGCTGAAGCGGATATGCGCGGCGCACACACTGAGCATACTTGCTCTCTCGTCCCTCTCTCGCAGTATGACTCAGCGTTCATACGCTCGCGTTGGATTGAATCCAGTCTGCGCATCATCACACAGCTGATGGCACACACCACGTGCTTGCCGCCAGTTGCTTCTTTCACGCCTTGACAGACGCTCAAGAACCCACTTAGCATCACTTGCTATTAGCCATCAGTGCTTTGTTCTTGCTTTCCCTGCTATTACGCAGCATTGTTCCCACTTTATTTGTACAATAAAGCATCACTCGTGATCTCCTCGTGCTTGTCTGTTACACGTACCGGAAATTCAAAATTAATTTGCTCAACTGCACTTGTCTATTTATATAATTAATTTCTATCACGCAGATTTTCACACTGCATAATGTAGTAAAAAGGTCGTGTTATAATTTAATGCTGTTCGTTATTTCGAATTCTGATAAATTTAATTTATGCGATCAAATCGGTTATAACTGAACACTGTTATTCGATCCGTAAAAAATTAAATTTGCTAAAAATAGAAGCTTTTTTAACTTTAACTTATCTCAGTCAGAAAAGATTTTATTTTCTCCAATTTAAAATATGCTGATTTCCCGGAGAAAGGTCTCACACCGGTGTTTTCATCCGGCAATACGAGGACCATTGGGTGCTGTGAACATACCCTGCACGATTAGGCTACGATGAACAGCCGGCTAAAGTTAAGCCGTTTGCATTCAGACTGTGATATCAGTGGCGTTGCGAGCTACGGCTGTTCATCGCAGCCTAATCGTGCAGGGTATGTTCACAGCACCCAATGGTCCTCGTATTAATAACGATACCCGTATTCTGTTTTTTAAATTAGTATCTCTCTCTATAACACATCAAAGGCCACCGTAGCTGCGGGGCAAAAGGAAGAAGCAAACACACGACCAAATTAAGCAGTTAAAGAATCTACCAGATTGAAGATCTGCTACATGAAGAAAAAACATCGGCAAACAGCAAACAAGCGAACAGCTACCCGACTGCGGATGTACGAAGAGGACATTCCTTCTCACTCCTATAAGAAACGCAAAACATGCCGGCATTCCGCATAATAATTACGATGTAACACACCAATGCAATTCTAACGGAAGAAATTACAGTACCTTTCCTTAGTGGAAATTGAACCTGAACCGAAAATAGCCATCGTATTCACCGGCCTGGACCACCCTGAAAATTACAAATTCAGTCGACTGTCCGACGATCTACATTCCTCATGTAAAAACAATCATTCACATGTTTTTCAGCTTTCCACTTGCAAACTGTCTATTTTTATATTGAATAATTTTCCTTATTTAATCGACATTTATGGCCGCTTTACTGAGTATACTGCACCATTACACTTGTTTACATAATATGAGTAAACGAATACGTAATTATAGCAAATTAAGTAAATTGACATTAACTGCCACACACACTTACGCGAAAACCAGCTCCATATCCTCACGCACTCCAACCACATCCATTTCAATATGGAAAACGCCCGTTTCAATCTCCAAAAAGCTATTCAGATTGGAATATTCGAAGTATTCCAGCTCTCTAACGGGAGGGAGAATCGCGATGATATTCGGAATGTTTTCGGCGGAAACCGCAGCCATCAAGCGCCCATAGTTCGAAAAGTTATCCGCTGCAATTACCCGAAGAACAAGCGATAAAAACATGCGATATTATTAGAAAAATAATACGTGAAAGTTGAAACTAACCTTCAAGCGAAGAAAATAAAGAATATATGTCTGACAAAATTTAGAATGACGGATTATATATACATATATTATATAAAGATTAAGAATATATATCTGACAATTAAATACAAGATAAAACGCTAAAAATGGAGCAGAACACTTCTTATTAACCGCACTTATAATCTACAAACTGAAAACAATATTGGAAAAACAAACATTTTTCTAAAATTTCCGTTTGCTAATTTCCCAAACTGGCTTATATTTTTCGCTTCCGTAAACGTGCCAAAAGACATTCGACATCATAATCTAGTACGATAAATAATTGTCTTGAAGTCCACAATCACATACCGACTTCAATAGTCAATCGGCCACCAACCGTCGTCCTCAGTGACCACTCGTCTTCCCAGACTCCTACAAGTACATGAATGCCTAAACAAATGTCCTGTAAAAAAATGTCCCGCCGAAAATTGTCGAAAGTACATTAAATAAATCGGGCAACAAATAAATCAAACGCATAGCAATCTCGATAATTTACCAGAATAAAATGGCAATAAATTAATAAACGTCTAGAATTATTGATATTCATCAAATAACTTGGGCAAGAAATAGATTAAACGTCTAGAATTATCGGCAATTTACCAAATAAATTTAGCAGTAAAAAATTAAAAGTGAAGATTTATTGATAAATCACCAAATAAATTGGGCAACAAATAGATCAAACGTCTAGAATTATCGGCAATTTACCAAATAAATTTAGCAGTTAAAAACTAAAGTCAAGACTATTGACAATTCACTAAATAAATTGGGCAACAAATAGATCAAATGGCTGGAAATATCGGTAATTTACTAAATAAATTGGGCAAAATAAGAACAAACGTTTAGAATTATCGGCAGTTAAAAAAATAAATTTAGCAATAAAAAGAATAAAAGTGAAAATTTATTGATAAATCATCAAATAAATTGGACAACAAATAGATCAATCGTCTAGAATTATCGGCAATTTACCTAATAAATTTAGCAGTAAAAAATTAAAGTCAAGACTATTGACAATTCACTAAATAAATTGGGCAACAAATAGAACAAAAGTCTAGAATTATCGGCAGTTAAAAAAAAATTTAGCAATAAAAAAATTAAAAGTGAAAATTTATTGATACATCACCAAATAAATTGGACAACAAATAGATCAATCGTCTAGAGTTATCGGCAATTTACCAAATAAATTTAGCAGTAAAAAATTAAAGTCAAGACTATTGACAATTCACTAAATAAATTGGGCAACAAATAGATCAAATGGCTGGAAATATCGGTAACTTACCAAATAAATTGGGCAAAATAAGAACAAACGTCTAGAATTATCGGCAATTTATCAAATAAATTTAGCAGTAAAGAACTAAAGTCAAGACTATTGACAATTCACTAAATAAATTAGGCAACAAATAGATCAAACGTCTAGAATTATCGGCAATTTACCAAATAAACTTAGCATTAAAAAATTAAAAGTGAAGATTTATTGATAAATAACCAAATAAATTGGGCAACAAATAGATCAAACGTCTAGAATTATCGGCAATTTACCAAATAAATTTAGCAGTTAAAAATTAAAGTCAAGACTATTGACAATTCACTAAATAACTTGGGCAACAAATAGATCAAATGGCTGGAAATTTCGGTAATTTACCAAATAAATTGGGCAAAATAAGAACAAACGTTTAGAATTATCGGCAATTTACCAAATAAATTTAGCAGTAAAAATTAAAGTCAAGACTATTGACAGTTCACCAAATAAATTAGGCAACGAAAAGAACAAAAGTCTAGAATTATCCTGTAATTTACCAAATAAATTGGATAACAAATGGAACAAACAACTAGAATTATCGGCAATTTACCAAATAAATTTAGCAGTAAAAAATTAAATGTGAAGAATTATTAATTAAATCACCAAATAATTGGGCAACAAACAAATCAAACGTCTAGAATCATCGTTAATTTACCAAATAAATTGGACAACAAATAGAACAAACGTCTAGAATTATCGGCAATTTACCAAATAAATATAAACAAATAAATATAAATAAAACGTCAAATAAATATAAATAAATAAATCTAACGTCTTATTTTTTAATTTGTTTATAACAAATTTATTTTACTGTTAACGCAGAAACTGACTGACCATGGCGGAGACCGTTCAGCAGATCCTCGGCCGGCATCTCCTTCATGCACACGCGGTGGACGATGGTGAACGGGAAAGCGGCTGATCTTCGCGGCAGTGGCAGCTTACACTCAGAAAATATCCTAACGGATAAACTCACGCTTACACTCAGAAAATTACAAATAAATCATTATAAATTTATACACAATTACGCATGCATAAAAATTAAAGCTTGTTCGGCTTGCAAGGGATCGGATCGGATTAGGTTCGGCTTGCAAGGGATCGGTCTGATAGCCGGCACGCGCACACCCGATCGTGGGCATTTGGGGCTGCTATACAGAAAAGTTGAGTGCACGGGGTGTGCCTCAATCACCGCTTCCCGCACAACCGGAAAACGCCCAAACAAGTCTCTGTTGCTGCCTTCGTACAATTAGCGAAAGAAAATTAAACACATAAAAAAATAACAAAAATCTTAATAATAAATTATAATATTTATCAAGTTAATAGAAGCAAAATGACACGAAATACTGGCGAAAACACAACATTGGGCCGGTCTGAAAAATATTTATTCTAAACTAGAAAGTAATTAGGAAAATAATTATTTTAACGTGTGGGTTACCTTTAAAATAAAAAGAGAATTAAGGAACAAAACTGACAGCCATCGTACTACAAAATTTTCTAACTTTCACCGTATTTGGAAACTGATAAGTGATAACCTTTAAATTGTAACCCTTTTCCAGCGATTATTGCAACAAAAGCTACTGCAGATCGATTCTGGACAAATAATCAGTAACGGAGTAACCACACAAAAATGTAAATATTATATTTTAATGGACAATTTAAAAAATAATTTAATATCGTCGTCATAACGTAGATGTTTTTGTGCATATGAATTGCAAACAGAATATTGTATATTCATTATCTCAACAAATAAAAAAAACTTCCCATATTTTTAAACTTATTTCTTTACGATTATTATTAATTACCAGACGACAAAGAAGCAAAAAGAAAAGATTCAAAAAATTTTGTATTCAACGTTATGTCGATTCGCATCTTGAAAGTTCTGAAAAGCTAAAACTACCAGCCCTGAACCGTAGATACAGCCAGTGCACTACGATTTTCATCTGCACAAAACAGTAGTGTGAAATGTAGGATAATATTACAAGTTATGGGCTATAGCTGCCAGAATAATTCAAACGAAATTATCATAAAAATCACGAAAAAATTGATTATTTTGCAAGAACAAGTTGCTAACTTTATGCGGCTGTTTGGCGAAGGCTTCCGCGCATTTCCGGTTGTGTCCGCCGAAGGACGACGTAATGACGTCGGCCACACCGCAGCTCTCCAGGAAGGTGTCGCGGGATCCGCCCGGGAAGAACTTCTCCGCGAAATCAATCATCTCCATGATACCCAGCCGAATCACCGCCGCTTTCGTGGCGCGAGCTTTTTCTCCATACAGTCCGTCAATCAAGCCCGCCGCGAACGCCACAATGTTCTGTTGTAATCAAACCATCAAAAATAAATGCTCGTTTAATTGTCGATTTAATTAATCCATTAAATATCCATTTAATTGATCAGAAATGAGTGTGGTGATGGATTAATTGGAAATTTAGGTAATTACCTTTAATGCGCCTGACAATTCTGCATTGGCCACGTCATTCACCACCGTCACGCGGAAGTTCTCCGTCTGAATCGCGTCGCGGAATAATCGGCCATGTTCCACATTTTTAAAGGCTGAAAAATCCAAACAACGCTTAAGTAGCAGAAGCCAAAAATGCAACTTAATATTAGAACTCAGTATCTAATTGTTTTTTCATATTAAAAAAAACTGAAATTTTAACTGACCTAAAATGTATTTTCTAATTTTTTTTAATTTTTTAAATGTATTTTAATTTTTTTATTAAATGTATTTTTGACCGGAATTTTAGACTACATGTACGTTCACAGAAATAAATAAATTGATTTTCAAATAAATTAAAATTCTGACTGATTTAAAACGTATTTTTTTTAATTTTATCTGATTTCAGTTTAAAGTTTAACGAATATTATTTTAAAAATAAAGTACGGCGTACCAATGGTTGCTTCGCAGAAGGATCCGGCGGCCACTTCGTTGGCGATATTGGCCCCCATGAGCACACCGACCTCAACGCCCAACTGCTCCCTGAGGATGTCGGAGATGAGCCCAATCTTCCCCGGTTCGGGATAATTCAACCCCTTCACAAGAGACAACGCGATGGCGCCGCTCTTCACCTTCCCGACCAACTGCTCGCAACTACGCGCGAAAATCTGGTTCGGCAGGACGAACACCAGCAGATCCGCATCCTCCGTCGCCTTCAGTATGTCCGGCTCGGCGATCTACCCAACAGAGAAACGCTTGCATCAGTTAGTCAGTACACACAAGGAACGGGGCAACTGTATGGAATTCCTGAATTAATTTAAATTAAAAATTATTAGTCCCTTCTTATAAATAAAAAAAATTATTTAATTATTAAAAAATGATGTAAACGAATTATTATTTCTACTTATTATAACTAAGTAATCATCCTAACGGTATCTGAACGACGGCGACCGCAAGTATTCTGACATTGACAGTCTCTGTCAGCCGTTATACTACGATTAGTACGATACAACGATGCATAAAATTTCAGGCAGTGCTTCCTACATGATACCATGCATAAAATTTCATTCTACTGTAACAGAGAAAAAATCGAAAAAACGAGAAGCTCGTACTCTTACCATAACAATATAAATGAGATTTTGTTCAACCGGAAATCAACTAACGATACAGAAAAAAATTACGAAAGACGGTCATACAACAAATAATAAAAATCAAACAGAATAAAAAATTAAATAACGAGACGACGGCCATCACATCAACAAAAAATCAGCTGCTCCCTTAAATATTATAAATAAAAATACTAACCACATAAAAACAATTAATAAATTTTTATTAATAAAATAATGACCGAAATCTGCGAGGTTTTTTCTTTTCATAATTATTTTAATAATCTCAAAATTCGTAGGAATTCCACATGTCGATTTTGTCCCAGTTATTCTGTTGTCATTTTTCCACGTTTTTTAGGTTCCCTGCTTTGTAGATTTTTTGGGGTTTTTCCTTTCACAGCTGAAGTTAGCAGATGAAAAGAACAAACTCACCTCGCAAATTTTCTCATTATTATTATTATTTAATCAACAAATATCACCGCAAAGTTTCCAGGAGAAATTAAAATACGTATTTCTACACTGACATACCACATTTTCAGGGAGCTTGTGCCCAGGCAGGTACTTGACATTCTCATGATCCTGATTAATAATATCCGTCAATTTTCGCCCATTGATAAGCTCCTCAAACGTCCACATGCGCACTTCCCGGTAGAACTTGCTCTGCTCCTTCTGCAGATTCCCCCCGATTACCGCCGCGATGGCGCTGCCCCTGCATTACAAAACCACAAATCTTCAACCCACAATTATACTAGCTCAGAAGCAGACGCTTGCGAAGAGCTGCACGCCAAGGCAGAGGTATCAAAATGGGATACAGGATGCACGAAAAGGATTTTTCCAGCAAAAAACGTCAACTCACCAGTTCCCGGAGCCAACAATGGCAACGCGCCTCTGTTCTGACATGCTGCTGACGAAACAATTGCCCGAACGAAATAATACACGACTAAATACTGGAAAACAGCAATCTAAAAGACAGTCGTGCACAAAAATGAGAAGAGTTTGACGACGGTGGGCGCAATATTCCGCAGTATCTGGCAGCGCAATCACGATAACTAGTGACGTTGCGCAAACACGCTTCTCGTCGCAGTTGCTGGTAGCTCGTAGCTTTTACGAGTTTTATCCTGTCTGTGCTCTATCTACATCTAGATAGAGCACAGACAGGATAAAACTCGTAAAAGCTACGAGCTACCAGCAACTGCGACGAGAAGCGTGTTTGCGCAACGTCACTACTTTTGACTTTTTCCCAACCTTCCAAAGTGGCCTAGCGTCACCACCGTAGCAGGCGCGCCACGGGGGTGATCGGGTTGCTAGAGGCGGATTATTACAGCTGGTATGCATTCGGTAGCGGTATGTTACGCGCTATGAGCGCGGCAACTACAGGGAAACAGCAAGAAGCCGACAAGCCGTGTTGAGAATGCGGAAAGGCCAACCGCCCGCAGTGGTCAGTGAAATTGCATTCCTTAATCTGTTCGCTGATCTCCCGTGCTCTTTTTAATGGAATCCTGCCCCTTTTTCCTCAAACTCTCCAACCTCGCGCACCGCGCGGGCGATATCGTCGGCCGGAAGTAGGCGTTGCGGTTTGTAGCCCGTCCCCCGCAGGCGAACGCCAATGCCCTGCTCTTAGATGGCCGCCCCGATCAGTAATTGGTCGGCCAGCATGGGGAAGGAGACGATGGGGATGCCGCTTTTTAGGACGTCCAGCGTTCCGTTGCAGCCGAGTTGCTTAGGCTGACCGCCACCGCGGGGGCGGCCAGCACGCGCTTCTGCGGCACCCACGGTAAAATGAGGAAGTCCAGGTGATCCACGACTTCCGGTGGGACGTACGCTTCGTTGCCGGCGGGCAGCGACCACAGGACCGGCTTTTTCAGCGTGATCAGCGCTTTTCCTAACGCGATGAAGAAAGGGGAATAAGAAATTCTGCAGTTACGATTCGGTATCAATTAAAATCGAATAGAAAAAAAATTTGACGTTTGAAAACAAATCAACCCCTATAAATCAAGAAATGGCCAGCCTCCGATTTGTTGCCCTGGAAGTCTGAAACAAAGAAGAAATACATGTATTACAAGAAAACTTTACAAGTATTTCAGCTAAGAATTTTAAAATAAATAAAGACATATAATAATAAACAATAATTTTTTCTGGAAACGTACTTAGTACTAACCTGACGTGTACTTGTATCCGAGTGAGTTGTATGTACAGAGTACAATACGATATTTCTAAATATTTCTAAATATTTCTAAATATTTCTAAATATTTCTAAATATTTCTAAATATTTCTAAATATTTCTAAATATTTCTAAATATTTCTAAATATTTCTAAATATTTCTACATATTTCTACATATTTCTAAATATTTCTACATATTTCTAAATATTTCTAAATATTTCTAAATATTTCTAAATATTTCTACATATTTCTACATATTTCTACAAATTTCTACAAATTTCTACAAATTTCTAAATTTCTAAATATTTCTAAATATTTCTAAATATTTCTAAATATTTCTAAATATTTCTAAATATTTCTAAATATTTCTAAATATTTCTACATATTTCTACATATTTCTACATATTTCTACATATTTCTACAAATTTCTACAAATTTCTACAAATTTCTACAAATTTCTAAATATTTCTAAATATTTCTAAATATTTCTAAATATTTCTAAATATTTCTAAACATTTCTAAACATTTCTAAACATTTCTGGATATTTCTGAATATTTCTACATACATCAATAAATATTTTTCTTTTATTTTTTAAGCTTATTTCCGTACCTAGAACACCACTGGTCGCGCGCTAGAGCGAGCAGCTGTGTTGATAGACTCATCAATGCGGGGTCAGTTTTAGTCCAGCTTGGTCTTAAATAATTCCATATTTGTCGTAGGTCTGCCAATAGATTTTGGTTGTTTTTATTAACCAGTCAGAAGATGGTTTCACAGGTCTTAAGTATTAATAGGGGCCAGTGCCGTGTACTATATGACTGCGTTATATACTCGTACTTGTAATGTAATGTAATGAAGTTTATTGTCCTTGCAACGAAGCGACTGCCCCCTCTAAGCTTCAGACAGCGGAGAACAAACCAGAATGTTAAAATAACATCGAAATGCGATACCACGAAAACATGAAAGCCAGCAGAAACAAGTATACACCAGAAAAAACATCAACACATGCAAAAACAAACATCAGCACATGAAAAGCACTTAAAACTGCATGTTGTCGGTACGGTTGCGATAAGTTGCGTTTATTGTGGAAAAAGGGCGGGGAGGCGAAAGTAATAGTGCTTAACGGAAGGCGAAAGTAGTAGTTCTTAACGATAACTTTAATCACACAACAAGGAAGAATAACAATGAGATGGAAAGCAACATGAAATGGTAGACCGATTGCTGGAATGATCGATACCATACACAGCAAAGCAACTCCTTATACATATTCAAATGCAACCGTGTTGCAACGATTGTATGTAGAAAGTTCGGTAACTTTCACGGTGACAATAAAAACAAGAGAACAATCTCTTTTAAATTGTCAAGCGTTATGGCCAAAGCCATAACGTGCTCATCCATGCACACCTGCATGCAGTTAAACAATCTGTAATAAAACGCATCATGCACAAATACAAGTTTAGCAATAAATTATAAAGCTCATAAACATAGCCGCCTTTCAAATGACCGCTATGCGTATACCGGCGTGACAGTATAGAAAACGTAAAGAGCACTTGAAGAAGTATTCACTGCACAGCAATAAAGAGTGTTTCAACATAATGACTGTAACCACGGTCCACGGAGACTATAGCGAATGCATAAATACTTGCTTTTTAGTGTGGATGATAATTATTGTGTGAACAGTAAACTAATTGGTAAACGTCCATAAAAGGTGAACTATAATGCCTCTTATGTCGCATACATAGATACTGCATATAGTGAAACTTCTCTATAACATACACCCTCCGTTCCAGGCTTTCTGAATGTCACAGAGAGGTGTATATTATACAGGAGCACTGCCCCCAGGGGCACTGCCCACAAGGGCTCAGGGGCGTAGCCGCCGGGGGTTTTACTTCAACAAAAATTTTACAAAATACCAGAGTGTGGATATTATTCGGTCTGAATGTTGGTTTTGCTGCCCTTTTGTATGCGTGGAGTTGGAAGATGCGGTACTGAACGGATTACAAAATTAATAGAAGCCGGAACTTTGTTTTAGAGTCTCCGAAATGGTTTTTTTTACCAGCGTTGCCAACTGTATGTTATGCTGGGGTTGAAAAAGCTGGTCAAACTGTTACCGGTTTCATAAAAGGTGTATGTTATGGCTGTAAAGGGATGAATGTTATAAAGAGAACTGCCCTTGTGTTAAAGTCTACCGGACGGTTTGGTTCCCACCCTCATGTAAGCAGTAAAGGGGTGAATGTTATAGGAAGGTGAATGTTAAGAGAAGTTTCACTGTACGCGACAATAATTATCATCCACGATAGACAGCAAATATTTACATGTATCCGCTATAGTCTCTGTGGTAAGTTGCAACAGTCATTATGTTACTACTTTTATTGCTGTGCAGTGAATACTTCTTCGAGTGCTCTTTACGTTTCCTATACAGTACTTAAGACCAAGTGAAACCATCTTCTGACCACTGGATAATAAAAAAAAATCTATCCGCAAACCTACGGAAAATATGGAATTTTTCAAGACTAAGCTTGACTTAAACTGGCCACAATATATATATACAAGAATCAGCCTCGGCTTCGCCTCCGCGTTTCTTGTGATCCACGGACCAGGGCCACTTTATTCAATTTTGAATGAATATTTATTGGTATACATCTACATTTCGTCGAAAAATGATCGATAGGTACATCACAATAGGGCAAAAGCACGGATTTTATATAAGAATAACTTCATGATTCTCTCCAGGTCGGAAGCATTCCCTTTGGCTGTACAGAAATTTTTTTTTATATCCTCTACCCGAAAAGAAACCCGAAATCTCACTGTCTATTAGGTACTAAATCTGAAATAGTGCAAGTGCACTGGACACTATCACTTGTTCGGTCACTCGGTCACTTCGCAGTTCGCTTTTATCACTGGCGAAAGATTTGTGCGCGCTGGTATATGTCTGATCAGTAGTGATACCTTGCTTATCTAACAGGATCTGTGCACTGGACAGTAGTGGCAGCTCGGTCACCCGCTCACCTAACGGGCTCTGTGAACTGGACGGTAGTGTCAGCTCGGTCATTCGTTCAGTTGACAGATTCTGTGCTCTGGGCAGTAACGGTAGCTTCAGAAGCAGCTTCTGCTTTGCCTCTGCTTTTCTTTTGGTCAACTGCCGGTCTATTTCAATAATTTCATAGGCTTATTTTTAAAATCTTATTTCGCCAAACAGCTGGAAAACGCAAATTTGGTATAAAATTCGGTTTATCGTTTTTGAGTACTGGAAGACATTCATTCTGGCTTTTAGATCTACGAATAATTTATTTTGAATTCTCGAAACGAACTTACCCCTGTCTTCCACGCACAAATCTACAAACTCCCAGAATCTTTGCACTGGACATAGTTTAGTCACTCACTGACAATTCGGTTACTCCCTATCCAAGCGGGCTCTGGTAACCGGACATCCGTGGACGTGGTAGTTCGGTCGCTCGTTCACCAAAGGGTCTTGTTAACCGTGGTTCGGTCTTGTTAACCGTCTTAACCGGGTCTTGTCAACTGCCCTTTGCACCGGACAGTAGTGGTAGCTCGTTCACTCGTTCCCTAATGGGCTTTGTGCACTGGACGGTAGTGACAGCTCGTTTACTCGTTCCCTAACGGGCTTTGCACACTGGATAGTAGTGACCGCTCGGTCACCCGTTCACCTATTGAGCTCTGTGCACTGGACAGTAGTGACAGCTCAGTTAATCGCTCGCTTCACGAGTTCTTTGCACGGGACAGTAGTGACCGCTCGGTCACCCGCACACCTACCGAACTATAGTGGTCACTTACTGGCCTAGCGGGCTATGTCAACTAGACTATAGTGGTATTTCCGTCACTCGCTGAATTAACAGGTGTGTCACCGTGTGTGCACCGAACAGTGGCGGTAGTTCGATCACTGATTGAACAGACAATCATGGTCGTGACTAGTGATAGTGTGGCGATAGCTGCTCGGCCGGCACTCGTGCAGAAATTGTCCTTGATGACAACTTTGCATACGTAGTTGTTATTGCCGTAATAATGGTCTGTGAATACTATCTGGCCGGGTTTTCGACTACGGGCTTTCAGACTTAAACTGGCCACAATATATATAGATATATATATATATATATATATATTGTTAAGCCCAGCATTGTGAATGTTGACTACCTTCCCACTGGAAATGCACCTCGTCACTCCATGTCGCAGACTGCTTGGAAGTTGGAGCGCATTCTGCTTACCCTACGAAGGAGATCTAAGAAAAAAATTATAGGAACAAAGAGAACCAAAAAAATACGAAACCCAGGTAGAGTAAGAAATATGAGAAATCGAAAAATCTAAGAAACATATTATAAGAGCATAAATAACAAAAAAACCTAAGAAATACGAAACCTAAGAAACCATAAGGAATTAATCGAAGAAACATAAGAAACCATAAGGAATTAATCGAAGAAACATAAGAAACCATAAGAAGTAAGAAAACCCGAAAAGCATAGGAAATAAGGAAGCCTAAAAATCTTTAAATGGCGGTTGCGCTGGCGACCGCCAAAATCAGTTTCTTAGAAGTGCGTGCTGCTGTAATATTTTGCAGTGTCACGTACCTGTACGAGTACTGAATCTGTAGGTAAATAAAAAAAACCTTGTTATACGAACATGAAACAGATGATCAGGACGGGAGTGGCAACATTCTTAACGAAATTGCGTTGATAATTTCGACAAAATGTTTAGGGTTGCGATTTCTGAGTTCGCAGGAACGGGAGAACGCTGCAATAATTGTACGAGTGTGTGCCCGACTCACTAGCGGAGTTCTTGCTGTTGGAAGCCGACACTCGACAGTATGGCAGTGCATGCAACAAGCAGAGTCAGCAGACTATTATTGCACCGAGCGCAACTGAGCTCAACTGCACCGGGTATAACAGCAGCGCTGTGATATCGACCATAAACAGACGGAAGACATCCAGTTTCAGCTCAGTCAGGAAAGCGCAGTCATATCTTGCCCGGTGGGTGTCTGTGCATCGATCAGCACATACATCAGTACATGCTTAAACCGTATTCAAACTGAACAGAGGAATGAGCACACGGAAACAGCGGAAACTGCGTACGTACAGATATATTAATGCCGAATCGCTAACACGCATAATAAAGCTACTCAAGTAGTCGCTATACGGTTATATTACCGTATACGCCAGTCGCCATAATATTATTACAATCCCTACGATCGTGTTCCTGTTGGTCCATACTTCATGTATCTGTAACTGCATATGTATATATGCAACATTGGGAAATGCCGTATATAATACATTGATTCTAGTCTGTTTGGATAAGACTTTAGAGGGAAAAAATACAGATAAGCTGTGTAATTATGATAAGTTGTCGATAACCAACATTTTCAGAGGCGTCTGTGACCGGCAGTATGTAATGTCCGCCATACCCACATCTAACATTTGATACAACACCCCGCCGCAAAAATATGCCTCCCGTGCCCACCCTTAAAATCGTACTCTGGCAATAATATCACTCATGACCACCTATTTGTGTGAAGGTTTTCGCTCGGTAGCGTTGAGGTAACGCTGGTGGCAGTTTTTAAAGGTCGCTGATTGATCTAAAACCAGCTGAAGAAGGCCGGTTTTATCAGTTTTTTGAAATCGCATCTCTGTCTCGATACATCTGTCTGCCCAGTTTAAATCGAGAAAAATTCACAACTTAAAACTGGTAAGATCGGTTTACAACACACAGTAAAGTTTGAATAAAAAAAATCACGCTTAAAAATTAACTATAGTCTGCAGGAAACCATACAGAATTTTAGATAAACCTACATAAGCGTTTGTAATGGTGAGCCGGGGCCAGTCACTGCTTGCACTAACCGTGCAGTTTTATAACTTTGATAATGTTGCCATCTACATAATAGAGCAGTCTGCAATCTATATAGCCGCTTCTTTTTGCAAAATGGCACCTTATGATTAAAGCCGGACCAGTCATGGCCTTAATTGACAACGGCACAATCGCTAATGAGGTGTCATTTCGGCTCTATTGTGTCATTTAGGCCCTTTGTAGCAAACGGTAACACTTGGAGGACCTCCCCCCTCCCCCTACTTGCGTGACGTAATTTAGATGCCCCCTGAACACAATTCAAAAATATGAGCTTTTCAATTTCATAATCTGCAAGCATCGCACAACTGCAGAATATAACTTCGATGTTGAACGCTTAAGCAGATTTGCACAATGTCAGCGTAAAAGCATGGTTAGATCACTTCCATAGATAGGAAGTATTTATGACTTTATTTAGATGTTGTTATAGTAAACGACATTAAAAGGAAAACGACATTAAAAGAAGTTGTTTGATCTGATTCCGAATGGAGTTTTGTATATGCTTGTAAACCAGTCCCATATGCCTCGCGTTACTGTCTCATCTGAAATGACAATGGCTAGGCACGCTACGCCTCGTATAATCTCGGCACGCCTGATTGTGCCGTTGTAAATTCTGCTCCGTGCCCGTAAGTCTATAATGTACTAATGGCATGGGCTTCGTTTTCTCCCTCTTGACCACAGGCTCATTTCACCGACGTTTTTTTCATGACTCCGTGACATCGTTATTTACGGTGACATGACATCGTCATTTTATGGGTAACATGTTACAGAAATAGCCAAAAATGCAACCAAACAAATCAGTACATCAAAAATTATTATGTCAATAAGTAAAATATTTAGTGCTCAACGTGGAATCAAGACGACAACGGAAAGATCGGCACATGTACCGGAAACTAAGCTACGCGGTTCGTGTATGCGATCGACAGCTTAATAATCGGGGCTTTGCGTTGCTACTTGCATGCTACACAACTAAGGACCCATCAATACAAGTTACGCCATGGCCGAACCCACAATACGGCTATTCGCTGCCGCGCGAATTAGATGTGTGCTTGTGTGAGGGCGGTGCCAAAAATGCATAGTCATCCTATATATTAAAGCAGAGCCGTTATTCCGGAACGCTCCTGCCTCCAAAACGTTCTGATTCTCCAGAACCAGCCTAATCTTTCTGATTGGCCAGAACCCGCCTAGCGGATTTTAAGCTTTTGCGGCCCCTTAAACCTGTGCTGTTGCGCGTTTGTCCTTACCAAGTTTCCGAAACTTAGTACCTTCACCTGTGAAAACCTTCGCCTGATAAACCGGATCCCAGCTTCAGCATTGCTCCTTACTAAGCTTCCAAACATTAGTTCTTTAAGAAACCTGATAACTTTAATTTTCTTACCGGTACCGTCTTTTAAGTCTTTAATTACCTTGCGGTACCACCTTTTAAGCCTTTAGTAACCAAAGGTCACGCGTGCGTCACCCGCCTTTTTGAGCCTTTGGCCATCGAAGGGCACGCGTGTGGTACGTTGGCCACCGAAAGCCTTTTAAGCCTTAGGTCACCGACGGTTTTCCAAGCCTTTGCCCACTGAAGGCCTCTTAGGCTTTTGGTCACTGAAGGCCTTTTAAGCCTTTGGTCACTGAAGGCCTTTTAAGCCTTTGGTCACTGATGGCCTTTAGACCCACTCTTTTAAGCCGTTTGTAACCGTGGGCCGCGTCAGCGCGGCGCGTAAGCGCCGCGCGTCCTGCTTGTCCGGTTTATTAAAGCAGGACTCTCTGTTCGAACAGATCCCGCCTCCAAACGTCTCTGACTGGCTAGAGCCGGCCCTGCCTTCTGATTGGCCAGAACCAGCCTTACGGCTTTCAGGCCTCTACAGCCTTTTTACCTTCGTTGTCATCAGCCCAAAGCTTTTACTCAGCTTTGGAAACCTTAGTTCCTGTACAAATTTTTACCCGATTAACAAATTCATCTGTAATAACTTTAGTCTTAGCACTTACTAAGGTTTCGAGACCTTAGTGTCTTTCACATGATTAGTCAGGACCACCAGATCTACCAGATCAGCAAAACTGCCAGATAAACCATAACTACCAGATCAGCCAAAACTACCCGAACCACCAGATCAGCCAGATCTACCAAATGAATCAAAATTAGCCGGTCAGCCAGAACTATAAGATCAGCCAGAAAAACCAAAACTAGCAGTTCAGCCAGAAAACCAAATCTGCCACATCAGCCTAAAAACCAGACCAAACAGAATTAACCAGCTCTACCTTTCACTCTTATTCCTAAGCTTCCTTTGGCTAAGCTTTGGTGACCTTATTATTTTGATCTAACATGACACCGGTACTCATCTATATAAGTTGGGTCAATACATAACCCGTTGTTCATTCTGCATAAGCCCGTGCGAAATGTGGCATTTCTTTTTAAACATTTTGTCAGCAGATTGTTTAGATATTTGATGTGTTTTGAGAATGACAGATGCTTCGCAAACTTACGTTTTGGCCGGTCAGTTGCCTTCCCAGATTGGTAAGCATATTAGGTTAATCGGTGAAATTACTAAGACATCCAAAGAAAACTGGACGCTACATGTACGCACCCCGGACAATATTGTGATATTTCTCAATTTGTCAGAAAAGGTAAGAAAGACTCACATCATGTGCTTGGTTCGGGTTCTTAATATTTGACAATAGTTCGAAGGACCACAATCCGGATTCATCGAAGCAAGTGGAGTTGTGACAGGCGTGAAAACAGTCAAATGTTTTTACATGAAGCGCGAGGGTCAACCGTCGGAGCTTGCTGAGCGCTATGGCAAGTATTTCGTTATTAAGGGTAATGGCCCGGAACATAACTTAAAAAATGGGATACATACACTAAAGATTTTGAAGTTCATTCATACACTAAATTTGATTTTGATTTTAAGATTTTGAATTAAGATTTTGAATTTCATACATACACTAAATTTTTGAAGTTCATTCTAAAATCGGAAAAAATGCGATGGATCTGATATTGGTTCCATTCCGACTTTATGGCCATTTGTCTTTTGCAGCAAAGTTTCAAGAAGAGTGGGTAACAACCAGGCTTTTGATAAGTACACAATAATGCTTTTAAACTTTTTTTCCATTTTAGTACACCGCATCTGGGCAATCGGATTTTGCGCGCTCAATCGGTTTTTAAAACAATGTATACTAGATAAATTCACGCTGGGGTGCATTGACAGACCGGAGCGGAACTTAAACGAAATGTCCACTACGAAAAAACTGACAAATAAAATGCTAATTTTTTTATGAACGGTTTATTTTATTAGTTTTTAATTTTTTAGTCGCTTAGTTTTGATGAACGGGTTCGTAAGTGTTGAAGTTACGACTGAGGCAGTTAGAATAAGGACGGAAGTCTCCCACAGGACTCAGGGAAAGCAACTGGTAAAATTTCATTGGTTTAAATGAGAAAGATAGAGCTCAAAATGTTACAGTCAAACCTTACAGTTAAGGTGTGACAAAACAAAAACATTGTTACAACGTTTTGTAAGGCTTTTAAAAAATTGCTTGTCTCGCAAAACCCCATTGGCACTACAACCGTTAAGAGATATCGTTTTAAAACAATGTGGTCAAGAAGGAAGAAACATCAAGTTGGGCGACAGGACTTCAAATTTGACATGTAGCATACAGTAACCTAAACGAAACCCAAGGGTTACTTAAGTTGAACAAGTGGATTGTAAAGATCGGGAAGCGGAGGTAGCGTTAGGCCTGTTAAAGTACAGTACTTGGTGGGGTAAGCCGCAAGTTTACTGAATATTGGATGAAAGATTATGAACACGCGAACTTCAAAGATAAAACGGTTTTTTGAAAAATATTTTATAAAGTCGATATTAACCACGGGTATGGAAGTGCAGCTATAAGTTTTCATCTTCTAATGGGCAAAGAGGAATCAAGTTACCGAGGTTTTATCGTGTAGGTCCTTGATGTCGCAGATTATCACCAAAAAGTGCAAGTGGAGATATTTTTGCCGGGGTCATTAATGGCGGTCAATCGTGCGTGCAAATAAATGAGATGTATCGACAGTTTATCGTTGCGTAACGGTCAAAGTGTATTACTCGACGGTCCATCGTTACTTGCGTAACGGTCAAAAAGTATTACTGCAACAAACTTACGCCTGGGCCCGCAACAGAAAAACACCCACCAATGACATCACGGCGGTTATTTGCGATATCTAATTCCGTAATGAACTGGCAGAACGAGCGCTGCATTGCAGCTGTATGAATCCGTTGCGACCCGGCAGTCAGCCGTGTCAGCCATGACAGCCATGACGTCACAGACAACGCATGCAGCGACGTCATAGCGGTCAGCTGCGTGACGCGCTGTGCACTACGCGGTTTCGAAAGGGACAAAAATCAATGGTTGCAGTGCCCATCTGTAAAGCCATTACGTTACAGACTTACAGTGGCCAGCTATAACATCACTGCTATCGGTGACTGTTACTTCCGTAACGCACCTCCGTAACGAATTTCCGTAACGGACAGAAATCAACGAATGCATTGGCCTTGAATTAAGAGGACCTTCGCTTCGCTCCGGTCGATAAATAGTTTAGCTTTAGAATGGCATAAAGTATTACACAAAAGTGATTCGGAGCTTTTTCGGAGTATTTAACACCATGTATCGGGCCATTTCCCTTATAACGTGTTACGGCATGTAACTCACAATTTTTGGGACCAAACATGATACTGAATTTAAATGAAAAGCGTGAATCACGGGCTGTCGCTTTTGTACTTTAGGAGCGTTCAGAGCTGAGCAGCCATGCACCTCAAGAGTCGGGATGTCTGAGGCTCTAAGGCACCAGCAGCGGCGTTCTATTTTGACTGAAGCAGAAAGGTCGCGAGAGCAAAGCGAAAGCGTAGACCGAATGCGACTGAAACGGCTAAACGAGACCGAAGAGGAAAATCAGGCCAGGCTTCTTACAGATGCGTTGCAGCATAAGAAGCGTTACAAACAAAATCGCGCTAACAACAAAAACAGGTACGACGCTCTGTCATTTTCCGAAGAGGAAACTCTACTTTTGGAGTTGGGTGTACCGGATCGTGTATGCTCCGCCTGTGAAGCTCGGCAATTTGAAGCAGAACTTACAGGAAAGGACAAAGATGTTTTTACTACCTGTTGCCAGAAAGATGCTGTTGTGATTGACCCAACAGTACCACAAAATTTTCCTCTACTTCAGAAGTCTCTCTTACTCGGTGAACATCGATCAAGCCCCAACTTTCTCCAGCACATACGGAAGTACAACAGCGCGCTAGCTTTCGCGTCTATCGTTGCGAAGACAGATCATCTACCAGGACGAGGCCCATGCCCCTACAGAATATCTGGCCAGTTGTATCATTTTCTTGGCCCAGCAAAAGCAGACTCGGACAAGGAACCCTCTTACGGGCAGCTATACTTTCTGGACAGCGATGACGCGGCTGAAGCCCGAGGTATTAATCAACAGAATAGACAACTGGACTTAAACTGCCTGGCAGAACTGGAAACCGTATTAAGATCGGCCAACCCCTACGCTGCAGCCTACCGCATGATGAAAGAGGTCGAAGCTATAAAAGTTCTGGAAGCACAGCAAGAAAACCGCCCGCCTCTGGACGTAAAACTGTTGTTTGACAACAATCGTCGAAAGCTAAATCGCAGATACGCAGCACCTACCAGTAATGAAGTCGCCGCAATAATCGTCGGCGGAAGCGAGGACAGCTTCCCAAAGCACTGTTTGGCAGTGCATTGCCGATCAACTGGACTGAAAGCAATCCCTGCGCTAAATGGCGACTGTGATCCCATGTCCTACCCAGTATTTTTTCCCTCGGAACAAAAGGTTTCCACCCTGATCTGGAACGGACAAGAGGGCGCAATGAAGTATCTCAGTTGGAGGTATGGCCGCACAAATGTCAACGGAGCAAAAGCTTTTCCTGCTTTTTTAGTCTATTGTTCGCAAGGCTACTATATCTCCAGTTTTTAGAAAGCTGAGTAATTGTTACTTTAAATAAGTTTTCAAAAGAGTAGTAAAACAAAGATTAGTAAAACTAAATAAGCTTATGAATGCTTAGTAAAACTAAACGTTGGTAGATCAGTTAATTAATAAGTTTTAGATAGCTCAGTTAATCGGTCTTTCTATATGTTCAACAAACACCACGCAAAAGAGTAACATATCGATTTATTAGTTTCCCGCTGTTTGCTTACTCTTACTGATCATCGCTTTTGTCTCTTAGTTTTACAGTTACCGCATTGCAGACCGTGGAGATTTCAATCCAATTCTGTATGGTAGAAAACTGTTTCAGCAATACTTGGTTGATTCATACGTGAAGGTTGAAGGATCCCGCCTTCAGTATCAGAGACTGCAGCAGAAGAAACTTCGCGTTGAAACTTATCAGGGCCTGTCCGATTACTTGGCTTCAGCAGCATCAGCACGTGGCGCCAAACCAGGCAGAACCGTTGTGCTCAGTTCAAGTTTTCCTGGGAGTCCACGTGCAATGAGACAGAATTACCAAGATGCAATGTCGCTTTGTCGCAAGTTTGGGAAACCTTTTATTTTCTTAACCATGACGTGCAATCCAAAGTGGGGGGAAATTAAGGATTACCTATACCCAGGACAACAAGCCACTGACAGACCGGATTTAGTTTCCAAAGTGTTCAAGCTTAAACTGGACGTCTTGCTCGAAGACATCGAAAAGAGAGAGATTTTCGGCCGAGTTGAGGGTTTTTGCATGGTAAGGTTTTTTTCACAGCATAAAACAAGTTTAGGTGTTTTTGATGCAAGTTTGCTAATTTATTTTAGACGATTGAGTGATGAATAGTACTCAAACCGGTGCTGTTGGCGTCGCCCCTAACCCAGGGGCACAGACGGGCGGTTACCGTATACGCCCTATGTTATAAGTAGGGGCGCACTGCCCCTGGCCCTTAACCTGCGCCCGGGCCGGGTTTTATATAAAACCCGCGCTATAGCAGCAACTTACATATTATACAGGAATAAAGCACTTCAGCATACAGACGCTCATTCGTCTTGCCTCATTCTCTCTCTCGCTCTCTGTTTGTATACTTATACATTGCTGCCAGCAGGTGGCCAGCATGCAGGCTTAGTTTCAGCGGCTTAGTCTCTCTCTCTCTCTCTATCTCTCTATTCGCTCTCATGTGCATGCACCGAATGCACTTTCGCATTCATGAATGCATCACTGGACATCTGCTTCACGCTCGCAGCACAGTGCATAGTCAGTCAGTGATAAGAAATCGATTTAGCATTTATTCCCATGCTCTTCACCCTGCAAATGTTTACAATTATTTTTCATTTTTTATCCATTAAAGAGGCGCCTTGTATGTTGCGGTTGCTGTTTTTGCCCTTATCAGAATTTCATATGCTAACACGTGGACTTGTACGATGAGGTGAGTGAGAATGTGCGCGCCAGCGCGCCGTTATGCATGCATTCATTTTCAAAATTGCCACATATGCAGTGCACATCTTCATCATTTTACGAAGAGAAATACTTGCGCATGTTATGCAGCTTTTTGTAAAGATGCCGCAATTAATTACGCAGTTGATTGTCACGGCAGCCGGAATAACAGTTTGTGCTGCCGTTGCATTGCAGCAACCTCTGTTAGCGAATGCCCACGGTCCCGCAGCATACATTGCGTGTCCCCATTTTTGCGTTTGCCGTGAAACATTTTGGAAATGCTCTGACAGCAAAGCAAATCTGTGGCCGTTGGATAATCAGCCATCTGCAATCGTAAAGGGAGTGCAGATGCTGGATATGACCGGATCGGACGTCAACGTTCTCCCCAACTGGCCGCCAACCCACAACTTCCCTGATCTGCAGATGATTTTTCTGTCTCAGACTGTGTTTGACGGCTCTCGCCGCTGTAGAGAGTTGGAGTGTCTGGAGAAGTTGGGACTGCGAATTATCGCCAACCGCTGCCCGGCAGGTAGAAACAGTTAACACGCACCAGCAAAGGCCCTATTATGAATGTGCCAGTCAAAGAATTATATTGAATGCTAGTTTCCTGATAAATATGACATAAATCGAACAAAAATTGTTTTAAAGGATATTTTCAGATTTACGCAGTGGATGCGGATTTCCTCCATGCTGTTCGTGGACTTCCGCTCAACCGCCTTCTCAGCCGCCGGTCTCGACGGTTACTGAGTCTTGGTCAACCACCGCGATTCCACGGGATAGAGACTTGAGCACCCGGGCCATGACTCCATCCGGCGCTGACGCTAGCGGTAAGACCACAGCAGCAACAACACCTTTATCAGCGGCAGCAGATGGCGACACATACAATATTAGTAGCGTGACTGCCGCAGCAGAGGCTGTTGCCAATACTACATCAGTAATAACGGGGCAAAGTACAGCAGCGTTATTATTATTGTTTTCCACTACTGCTACACTGTTGCCGTTGGCGCGGCCGCCGCTCCCGTCCACTGCAGCGGCTATCACTCGCCGGTCCACACGACGATGGACATTGACTACCCCCACTACCGCCGTCACCACCACCACAACAACGGCAAGCGGTGGCAGTAAGCTCGTGAGTGATCTGCCAGTGGTTAAGCAGCCGCCTGACACAGCGACTTCTCATTGGCAACAGTCAACCACAATGCGCAACCTCGTGACGCCCCCTTTCACATCAATTAGATTTTCGAGAAAGATCACACCATCAACAACGTCGTCATCACCTCGCCCGCTCACCACCACCCCCACCACCACCGCCCCTAGCTCAAGCGTTGCCACCACGATAACAACAGCAACGCAAGGGCCTAGTGCAACGGCGAAGGTGTCAACAAGAGCCATCAGTGACGGCTTCAGACCTACGGTTCCGTTGTGGTCACCATTTGCGTTATGGCTTACGACAACGACGCCGACGCCAGTTTTCATTAACGGTAGCACCAGTGCCAGGCTTCCGCTGCACGCGCTGACATTCATACATAATGACAGTAGTGGCGACGGGGGCAGCGGAAATCATGTTCTAACTGATTCTAACGCAACATTGCTGTTGTCATCTGCTGTGGCATCCACCAGCGGCGACTTCAGCAGCAGCGCCACCACCACCACCACTGCAAGCACTACCGTCACCACCACCACTACCACCACCAACAGCACTACTGACACCACCACGTCCAATGCATGTAATACTACCTGTCCACCTTGTATGCTTGTAGGGAGTGAGGTGCAGCGTGGACTGGCCGTAGATCCGTATACTGTAGCAGGCATAACGGTCGGCATCCTATTCCTGATCGGCCTGACGGTGCTGTGTATTGCGTGGAAGCGTGGTTTTCGCGTCGGTCGGACCGTCAACAGTGCCCGCAGCCATGATGGCGGGGCAGCACGGCCGACTGCTCCCCATGGTCGCCGAAACCGCCCCGGTCGAGATGCCGAAGCCGGGCGTGTTCCACCCCACCAGCAGCCACGCACTCCAATTTTTAGCAGAAATCGCTCGTCGGTGTCGCCGTCGCGATCAGAGCATCACTGGTTTTCACCAACAACAACCAGGAGCACGTCAAGGACACGCCATATGCCGACGCCACGTCCCAGTCCATTTGCGTCTCTCTTCGCGGCCCGTCGAGACAGGGACCCTCTGCCACCGCCTCACCCGCATGAGGCCGTAGTCCATCACAACCCCGAGTACAATGGGCTGCCGCGGAACGACGCTGATTACATGCACCACCGCGACCATAGCCAGGACGAAAGGATTCACCAGAACGTGGACCTTGGCGGCAACAACCCAATTCCAGCGGACGGCGGTGAGTTTTTGTGTGTTATCAATATTCGATAAAATAAATATTTTCGCTTTTTAATCATGGCTGCAAAATCGCCATCCTATAAATCTGCTGGATTTTGGCTACGAGAGCAGCAACAGCAACAACCAGCACCACGGCATCAACGACCAAGTTGCCCAACGTGATATTCCACCAGGTAAAGATTTTTAGCAAGCGCGCCTATGACAAACCACGCATTAATCGAGAAGTTTATGGGCTAGCATCGTTGCCGGCGGAAGAGTCGTCGTCGTCCTCTTCGGTTTCCTTTCCGCGACAGCATCGGCAGTTGTTTCGTGTTAGCGAAGAAGGTAACACCCAAACGAACAGTCTGTAAATGTCCAGATAATTTTAATTCCGCTATTTGAAAAATTCTCTGTGTAGGTTATCGTCTGCCGCTGCAAAGTGGTCCCGGTTTCGAACGGGAGATTGAAACCATCGACGAGAATGATGATGAATGGGAAGAAGAAGAAGAAGCAAATGAAGAGGAAGGAGACGATGACGACGACGATGGTGAACAGCACGAAGTCGGCGATGGCGACGGCGACTACGGTAAATGTAAATAATTATAAAAGTTTTTCTTTTTAAAAACACATCACTTGTATAAACAGGACGCGAAGTGTAACCGGTGAGTGGTGACCTGGGCGTTGCACAAGGCGAACAGCAACAACACCCGTATGATTATCCCCTGCCGCAGTCGGAGAGCGAACATCCAGCTGGGCGCCGTGGGCGCGGAGGGCGCAGAGGACGAGGGGGGCGAGGACGCGGCGGTCGTGGTGGAGCGCCCGAGTGGAGCTGAGAAGCCGGAAGTCGCCTGTCCAGACTGGAGTGAAATGGCTTATAGTTTTGGGACGTAAGGAGTTTCTTCTTCTCTCCTGAATTCGTCTTTTGTTATAGAAATGAACAGCTTTTTGTTTTTTGTCGGGTCGAAAATTATTATGAAAATTAAATCCTTTGTTGTAAAATACAAGTCTTAGGAGCGGCGTCGGCTTTATACGCTGTTTTTACTTTAGCCCTAAATGGTAACTATGATTTGTTGGTTGAATTTTTCAATAATAACCAGCAAACGGAAGTCATGGTCAAGTCAGCTTTCCCATTAGTTTTTATTTCCGGTAACAACACGTTAACAGAAGCAGTTCATTGTGCAATCAAGAAACGATGTAAGAAGTCCCGGATGTTCATGCACTATTAATTGGGACGGGTGGGCTGGAACTAGTTCCCATGCGCTTGCTAACAACTACTTCCATCTGACAATTTAGGCATAACAGTCGTAGTTTTCCACGTTTTCGAATAATCAGAGTGCAGCAGCTAGCACAGCGCGGACATTGTACAGAACATTTGAAGTAGTTTTTCAGCACTTGTTGCACATGGCGGACATTGAAGTGGCGATAGATGTCAATATAGGTGTATTTCCGGTAAACATCCGGGACGTATGTAGTTGGCGGTTGTGGCTCTAGTCCTGGGCGCGAGATAACAGTAGCGCGTAGTGATGTTTGAAAATAAACATCGAGAGGTATCAGAGGCTGCTCCATGATGTTTTGAAAGTGGTAAAAGTTAGACAGGCGCGTCAGACATACCAGGCTGTGGTGATGGATAACGATAGGTGTTGGAAGCGGCTGTAAAATATTTTATGTATATATTGTAAAAAGGAAAAATGATGTGATCTACATACCATAAAAACAGTACGACACACCCGAGTACGGTGATGACTAAGAATAGGTGTTGGAAGTGGCTGCAATATGTCTTCTATATATATATATATATATATATATATATATATATATATATTATAAAACGAGAAACGAGGTGATCTACTTACCAGAATAAGCGACAAAGCCAGGTGAGAAGGTACTGGGGATGGTGTTCTGTCGGCGGTGCTAGTGCTGGTGGACATATTTACAGTAAGAGAAATGTTATCCTGCTCAGCGGTATTCTCGTAGCTGCCGCCGGCGCCGTTTTCGGAGAAATGGACAGGCGTGGGTGGAGGAACGGGTATTGTCGGCGGTGTGTTTTCGCGGTAGTCTTCACTATTAGCATTGTTACCAGCGACGTATGGTGGCGGGGGCGAGGCAGGCGGCTGCTGCTGTTCACAGTTATTTTGCCGCTGACGGTTGTCTCGAAGTGGGGCGACTGACGGCAGCTGGCGACGACGGAGTGAAAGAGGCATTGGGCTGGTTTTGTTGCCCGTTTGGCAGAGACGGCAGAGATTGTGGCGGCGGCGGCGGCGTTGCCTCTGGTGACGCGGGGGAGTAACTTGGGGAGGAAGGGGTTAGTAGCAGTGACGACAACGGCGACGACGACGCCGGTGCCGATGGTAGAGCAGGTATTTTGCTCTTGTTGCTATAATTAGTGCATGCGATATTCGGAGGACACTCTAGGATTCCCAGCAGCCGCTTGTAATACTTCTGAAGAATTGTCCAGAGAAGCTGTCGGGCAGCGTCAGATTTTGCAGAGGAAGTTGTTAGTCCACAGCCGATCACGTATATATCCTCGTTGGCAACGACAGCCTGGCAGTTCCAACGGGCGGCCTCTGCGGAAGGGACGCGGCGATATTCCACGTCAAAATTTAAAACAGTGGCAATATTGTCCAACAGTTGTGTAAGGCGTAGGGGACTGAGGTTACTGTCACTGGATGTTTCAGTGTATGCGCCCGTAGCGGTGGCAGCAGCGGGGGTGGCAGAATTCTCCAATAACTTCAGTAAAACGCTGTGATAATTACGCAGCACCAGTGCCAACAACTTCTTTGCACTGTCCTGCTTAGCCGTAGCAAATGATTTCCCGACACCTTCAGCAAAAATCTTTTCAACAATTATGGCCGCGCGATACCTGCAAATAGCCTCTTCGTTTTTCTTCCGGGGAATAGTTTTATAATCTAGGTCAAATGACAAAATTTTGGCGACAAGGCTAAGTATCGTAGTAAAATGACGCCGTACCATTTCAAACGAAAAGCGGCCCAGGCTGATATGCGCTTTTAGTCGGTGGCAACATGCGTTTATAAAAGCCGCGGGTCAGCAGTGGGCGGAGAGGGCGGCGTGGCCTTGGCACATAATAATTTAATTAGGCAGATGTTGTTGTTATTGTTGCACGTGCGGTCCCTCGGGATTAGGCATACGCACACCCCTGCGTCCGCCTTGTATATGGGGGCGGCGTAAATATTGCTTTCGTGTCTATATAAATGCCGTTCAGCTGGATTTCGCGCCCATTTGGACTACTCGCTCAATTTACTGCTGGCTTACTCGCCGCCGCTGCCGCTTGGCAATAACTTGTGCTCGCTTGCCATCTGTTATCCGGACGCCGTCGCCATTTTACTGCTACGCTGCTGCTGCTGCTGCTGCTGCCAGTGCAGTTGGATTACTGTGGAATACTTACACTTGTTCTGCTGGCACTTGTTCTGCAGTTGCATTGTCCGTTTGTTAGCTTGGTAAGTGTTGCGCTGCTGCTGCTGCTGCTGCTGTATAGAAGAGTATGGTGAGAAGAGCAAGTAAGCGGAGGGAGAGCGGTGCAGGCGATGGCCGCGGTATGTCTGTAGTTGCTGTTAGCCGTCGCAAGGTAGCGTTGTTGAAAAAACTTTATACGGATGTAACATCTCCAGCTTACCTTGCGGGAGCTGCAGCGCTGCATCGCTTGGCCAAAGAGAGAGAAAAAGAAATACATGTCAGAATAAATTTGCGTGACGTGAAAGAATTTCTTTCTCAGCAGACGATTCATGCACTTCATAAGCCGGTTCGTTTCAAATTTAAAAAAATAAAAAATTTCTGTGTGGGAATTGATAATGTCTGGCATGCGGATTTGGTGGAACTGCAAAAAATTAAAAGATTCAACGATAAATACAGATTTATTTTGACAATGGTTGACTGCGTCAGCCGTTTTGCTTTTCCGCAACCGCTGACTAGCAAGTCCGGAAGTAACGTTGCAAATGCTGTGGAGAAAATATTTCAGAATCGTCGCCCTGTTGTTCTAGGTAAACTTTCTCTCTTAGTTGCAAATGTTTTGCAGTTTCCTTAACAACATACGTTCTTTTTTATTTTCATGGTTGCTGCTACAGTAACCGATGCAAGGAAAGAATTTCTGAATGAAAAGGCGAAAGAAGTTTATATTAAATACGGTATTCGGCATCAGGTGTCTGCGTCGCGCTTCAAAGCAGCCCTAGCAGAACGCTTCAATCGTACTCTGAAAACGACACTTTTCCGCCATTTTACGTTTACCAAGAGCCCAAACTGGTTTTCATCACTGCAGAATATTGTCAGCAATTATAACAGGAGCGTACACAGTGCCATCAAGATGAAGCCAGCTGAAGTGTCAATTAAGAACCAGTCCCAACTGTTTAAACTAGGACAGGAAAAAAGATTTATCAGGCTGGAGAAGCCCGCGTTTCGGCTAGGCGAGTCCGTGAGAGTGATGCTAAAAAAAGCCCAATTCAGCAAAGGCTATACTCGAACATTTTCTGATGAAGTGTATAAAATTGCTGATATTGTTTACGGACCGGTGATAATGTATCGACTAGAAGATTCTGATGGCCGTCTAGTAAAAGAACGGCAGAATGGGCGGGCGTCGCAGTTGTTCTATGAAGAGGATTTAGCAAGTGCTCGAAGATCATGAACCGACGTGCAACGCGCGTATGTTATTGTTGTTTTCACGGCTGACGGACACTTCATGTTGTTATTTGTTTTTGCAGAAAGCAGAAATGATGGACAACGGGTTTTACGTAACACTGCACAGTGCGGCCGCCCTGGCATATGGAACCCAAATTCTGCACTATACCGCAACCCATTTTGCCAATAAGCTGCAGTTTCCGCTGCTATCATTTAGGGAACAAGAGAAACCCTGGGAAGTAGCTCTTGTTCGTGCTCATTCATCTGCCAAGTTCACTCGAATTCCACTGGAACAACGCCAAATCTCCATCTTTCACGGAAAGTGTGGTGAATCGTTCATCGATGGATTTCTCGCAGAGACGGATTTTGACTTGCCGCCGGCCGAATTTGTAGCCGCGGTTAATAAGGTGGTGGAAGCGATGGTCGTTAGCTGTGGAACCACAACATGGACCGAAGAAAAGCCGCAGATTCAACTCGTGGACGGAAAATTTCAATGGATTAGCAAAAATTATGGCTATCAATTTGTTGACCGCGGCAATTTGTTGTCGGCTGCTCTTGGCCTGACATACGACGAAGCGCTGGGGATATCCCGTCAACATGTAACCACATCCTACGTTCACGATCAGTCATTTCATAAATACGGCGATACACGCTTCATTAGACATCGACTCCCGGTTGACCCGACACGCGGCCGACGTCAGATTGCGCTCTTATTAAATCATGTTATTCCAACAGCATTCGGAGGCAGGCTAGAAAACATCTTGGCGATAGCGACTGCCGAAGATATGAAAAGCGGCTATGAGCCAAAAAATCGAATTTACGTTCCTGTTCACAACTGGTTCAGCAAATCAAATCCGGAGGTTACCCTGAAGTCAGACTGGCAAATGGAGTGGACGGACGAAAGCCTTGGCGAAACAACGATTACACTTCACTATCGAAAATCCCGGCGACAAACACAAATGGATTTCTGAAGATTACTGTGAAGTGTGTATGTGGGCGTGTCGTGAGGTGTGGCCTAAATATTTGGCTGTTTTTATGCGTGCGGGGGTGTTGTTTCGGTAAAAAAATGGATGATATAAAAGAGCAGATGAATGATGCAGAAAGTTTATTCTGGTTGTTGCGTGGGTAGTGCATAACAGTAGTGTTTAGAAACACTACGCGTTTCTCACAGTTGATCATTGTCGCAAGAAAAAACGGCTAAATACAGCAAGAAAAAAAGAAGGCGCAGCAGTCGTCGAGCGGTCATTAAGCGAACGATAGTTCAATCAACAGTGATTGGTAGATATCGAAGGCGAAGACGAGGACGAGGAGGGCAACGACGTCAAAGACGAACAATACGCACAGGTCTTTTTCAGAAAATTACCCGAGGAAAATCGTTGGCCTCTATTGTTTAGAAGTTTTTCTCCAAAAAATGGCATTCATAGCGGCAAAAACACAAGCGACAATAGAGAAGTTTCCGGACGAATTACAACTGTTCGATATACCAGTTAGTCAGTCCACTATTGAAAGTAGCCATACAATGGAATTCCTGCCTCTAAATCAAGTTGTAAACAATTCCGTAGTCATAGAGTTTGTGCTTCCTTCTACGGAATACTATTTGGATTTGTCAGACGTTCAGCTGTTTATACGGTCACAAATTTTGGAAAGAGACAGTAGTAAGCCATTAGGTATAATTAAGCCTCCCACTACAAGTGTAGCAAGCGCCGACGCAGCATCGGCTGCTGCTGCAGCAGCAGCAGCTGCAGCACCTGTCATCAACCGTGCCACTGGTGTCGCTGCTAATGTCGCTGCAGAACAAGGGCAGGGGGGCGGTGTCAATCCCGCCGCCGCAGCAGCAGCAGCAGCAGCTACGCAAACAGATGGTCAACGGCAGCAGCCACTGCAGTCGCAGCCGCACTACACTGCAGATCCGTTGCGCGATCCAGTAATTGCAAACATCGTAAGAAATATGAATCCAGAAGACAGGCGGGAATACATTAAAATGCTCAGCCAGATAGGAATTCGAGATGCGGCACCTGTCAATTTGCTTTTCTATATGATGTTTGAAAGAGTAGAAGTAGAACTGAATGGCACACCGTTTGTGGTCAGCTATGGAAATTATGGATATAAATCATTTTTTAATATTCTCCTAAATTATTCACGCGGAGTTAAGAAAAACCTGTTAAGAAACGTGATGTGGTTTAAAGATAAATTAAGCGATATTTTTCCTGAGGATAGTCTAGATAGCGTAGATTTGCTAAATGCGGAATCAAATCAAGGACTTGCAGAAAGATACCGCGAAACAAAAGAGGGCCGACCCTTCGAAATGATTGGAAGGATAATGCACGAGCTGTTCTACCTTGAACATTATCTACTGCCTGAGGTGTCAATCAGAATTCGCCTGTTTAAACGCAATCCATCATTCTTTCTAATGTCCGATGACCCGATGCCTAATTATTACCTTAACATACTTGACATGCGCCTGCTGGCAAGGTTTGTGAAATTGTCACCAAAGATTCATGACCAGATCCAAAAGAGGCTGTCCACCCAGCCAGCCATATACAAAATCTATTCGGCCACAGACGTCCGTGCTAGAGCTATCATACCCGGCCAACGCCTGTATACCTTTGACAATTTTTTTGGCTCGGAAAAAATTCCTAATCGGATTATTTTTGCCCTTGTTACACATGAGGCGTACTTGGGCAGTTACCGAAAAAATCCGCTCAATTTTCAGCATTTTCAGCTTGAGGAAATAAGTTTGGTTGTCGACAACCAAATTATTACCTACAAAATAGATTTCGCAAACGGCCAGTATGCTCAGTTATATAGCGCCTTGTCATGCCAGTTAGGTAATCGACGGTTTGACTGTTCCTCCGACACATCCTATGACGAACTGAGATACGGCACGGTAATAAATGTTAATATAATGATCAAATTTTTATTCATTCATCATATGCTTTACAGAGTATTTATCCATTTGACCTCACGCCTAATCACAACTTCGATGACATTCCCGTTGAGCGTTTTCTAAACAGATGGCTTCTGCTCTGCTGTTAAGATGTATTATATCATAAATAGCGAACTGTTAAACGACGGATTTTTCTGATGTTTAGCTGCTGCTGCTGCTGTCAGAGATATAAGATCAAGACAAAGGTTAGCGGGTATAGATATTGACTAGAAGACGACGAAAACAATTCACGATAAGAGCCGTAAACTTTTCCTAGATCGTCGACAGCCATTGACGAGGTGTTAGCGGCCGCCGTCGTTTGACTGTGTCTCTTGAGCATGCGACGCAAGCCGTCCATTGGCTTCAATTCTAAATAAAAGGTCACATTGGGTGTAAGGCTTGGCAGAGCGGATTCCACTGCTGTCATCCACTCCATACTATGACCACGCGATAATCCGTAAGCAAAATCAGAGATTAAATAGCGAACCAGTATTATAATTTTCCCATCGGCCAATTCTGCCGATATGGAATCGTTGAGATAGGCACGGCAAACAGTAAGCAGCAGATAATTTTGCGGTAGTTTATAGAGAGAGCTAGAGGCCAGGACGGTTTTAGTCAGTCCAGTGACTGAATCATGGGCTGAAGATGTCGAAGACGGATGGCGATAAACAATTACCTGGTATCCCAGCGCTGTTAAATTATGGGCAAGGCGGTTCGCCTGTTCAGCTTTTCCGGAACAGTTAATCCCTTCAAAAACAACCAGGAAAGGTTTTTGTGGCGTCGGTGGTAATGAGGGAGACTTCGGTAGCATTTTGGCAACTAGTCTTCAAATGGCATGTGTTGAGTCAGTGAGTGAAGGATATATACATACAGCGAAAAAGAGGTGGTGGTGGTGGTGGCAAAATTCGAAAAAACAGCTATTGCAAGCGAGGCCGCTTTGTTTGTGGCTGGATGATGTCACCGCTCCCGCCGCAGCTGCTGCCGCCTCCTCCTTCTGGGCCCACAGTTTGACTGGCAACGTGCTGCTGCTGCTGCTGGTCTTTCAGACGATCGGCGATTCCCAGGATAATTTTGTTGTAGTAAAATCCATAATGGCTGTTCATTCTCAGAAACTCGCGTGCAAAAACCAAGTGCGCAATTCACAGAGCTTTCTGCCGCAGCGACCAAGTCGCCTGAGAAGTTGTTTCTGGATCCGAGAAAGGTTCCCGCAGTTTTTGGAGTGTACGAAAAGATTCTCGCGCGCGGCCACGCATAAAAATGCCATCAGGATCAAGATCCCTGCGACTAGCAAACAAATCGTACGGGATTTTGTCGCTTGCTGGTGGTGGTGGTTGTGGCGGTGGTGGTTGCGGTGGTGGTGGTGTCGGGAGCGGAGCTGGAGGTGACGCTCTGCTGATATCATCGGAGCAAACGCTGCTGCTGCTGCTGCTGGTGAGGCTGCTCATGTTGCCAACAAGTTGGGCTGGGACGGCGGCAGTCGCGGCGGGTGGAAAGTGGTGCTGAGTAGTGCCAGACAGAGAGATTATCTGTTGGCTGATATTTCCCACAGCGCTTTCGGGCGGCAAATAAAGCTGTGCTGGATGCAAAAACGTCACGCCGGGACTCTGGAGCAGAAGATGAGCTAATGCGTGTGGGGGCGGGGTCGATGCTGCCGATGAAGGAGTTGTCACCGATGAAGATGCAAAAGTGCTCACGGACGATGGTGTTGATGCGGCGGTGGAATCTGTGTAGCTGGTGACTGGAGAAGACATTGAGATAAACTGTGACTGAGACGTATGAGGATGCTGATACGCATGCATGGAGTGAAAGTGATGATGCAGTGGCTTTTGCTGCTGCTGTGTGTAATGATGACCCCATGACCCGGAGGCGGCGGCGGCGGTGCTGGCGGCAGTGTTAGCAACAACGACAGGTGCATTAGCGGCATCTGCGGCAGTAAATGCGATGTTTCGTTGTTGTTGCTGCTGCTGAAGCGGTGGAGGAGAGATGTCTTGGAAAAATTCAGCCAGAACGGCCGCGTCATTGTCGTTCTGAAAGTGCTGGTGCTGTTGCGGACGCAAATCTGTAAAACACGACAGCAAGGTGTGTACAATAGTGCACATAAAAACGCAGTGATATACACATTCCCGGTTTTTTATTTGTATAATATAATTCTCTTACTGTTCCTTACCATTTTGACTGGCAAGCAGTCGGGCCATGATTTGATGTGGTAACTGTTGCTGCTGCTGCTGCTGCTGCTGCTGCTGCTGCTGTGAAGTTAATCCAGAAACAAACGGCAGTGAATTTCCCGCTGAGAAACCGTTAGCCAGCGGCTGCGTAGAACTGGCCATACTCAGATCGTAACAATTATTGCACGCCATTAGAATCAATCCGAACCAATTTTGAGCTTGAATAAAAAAGAATAAACAGTCCGAGCGATCAATTGCGAATAAATCAGTTAAACGCGATGACACACACCAGTTTATATACTGACCTCTGGCTCCGCTCTGCTGTCTGGATAAAGGCGGGCGGAGTCTTCGTCCATCACTTCACAAACATACGAGTGCAAGGTCCCTGGGGACGACGACGCTTGCACTCGCGTGACATTGGAACAGCAGTCAGGCGGCACTGTTGTTTCGGTCCCCTATATATATATGTGATGCGTGCATGTCCGCGCGCAAACAGATGCGCACATGCAGAGACCATGAACACCTGCACCACTGATAAGTTAGCCTTAACTGGCGACTCTGAAAGCATTAAATTAGATCATAATAATAACAATAATACTGCTACTACGGAGCCGTTATTAGAAGCCTCGTGGAAGCGACTTGTATTATTTCCAATAGAAATCGATGATGCATGGCAAATGTATAAAAAGTCAGTGGCCTGCTTCTGGACACCTGAAGAGATTAATTTCTCTCATGATGTCCGTCAGTGGCCAACGTTAAGCCAGTTTGAGAAATCTCTACTAGGGAATGTGTTAGCTTTTTTTGCTGCGTCGGACGGAATTATAATGGAGAACCTGGCAGAGAACTTTCTTATTGAAAGCCAGTGTCCTGAAATCCGCGCGTTTTATACCTTCCAAATATTTATGGAAAATATACATAGTGAAACATATTCACTTTTAATTAATACCTATTACCAGGACACGGAAGAACGTTTGCACCTACTGCAAGCAGTGATAAATAATGAAAATGTTATAGAAAAAGCAAACTGGGCAACTCGTTACATCAGAGAAAATAAGGAGCGGCCGTTTTCTGAAAGACTGCTGGCATTCGCATGCGTTGAAATGATTTTTTTTTGCGGCGCTTTCGCCGTTGTATTTTATTTTAAAAACCGCGGCATCCTGCCGGGACTCACGTTTAGCAATGAGCTGATTGCTAGAGACGAATCTCAGCATGTAGAATTTGCATGCTGGCTTTATGGGCAGCTTAACAATAAGTTACCAGACGAAACGGTGTACGCCCTAGTAGACGAGGCAGTGGACATCGAAAGCCGGTTTTGGGACGCTGCATTTGAGCATCCTTTACGTGGACTGAATGCAGCACTGATGAAAACGTACGTTCAGTTTGTGGCTGACGTGTTGCTTAAAATGCTTGACCTCGAACCGCTGTACAACGCGGCAAATCCACTGCCCTACATGGAAAACATTTCCCTGGAAGGCAAAAGTAATTTTTTCGAGCGCCGAGTTTCGGAGTATAAAAAGGCTCACGTCGGAAAAACTCAAAAAGAGCAGAACCAGCAACACCTGTTTCGCACCAATGTTGAATTTTGAATTTTAATAGTTTTCGTTTCTATTGATGGGAATTATTGTTTGTCACTGCTACTACGGAGAATATAAAAAGGCTCACGTCGGTAAAACTCAAAAAGAGCAGAACCAGCAACAGCTGTTTCGCACTAATGTTGAATTTTGAATTTTAATAATTTTCGTTTCTATTGATGGGAATTATTGTTTGTCAAAAATTTTCGATTCAAAGAGAATTTAATAAAATACAAACAAACAAACAAACAAACCAAACACCACAACTCAGCATCATCCGTTTTAACAACATCAACAACAACAGCATTTCACCACAGAAACGGTTGTGCAGCATTGTAACAATGCTTGCGTCCGTGACTCTTTTTCCATAGAAAATTAACAGATCCAATTTCTTCCCAATTACCGATCCATGTGCAGCCAGGATGGGCGCACTGGATCTGGTTCGTAGGGTAAAAACCGTGCTGTATAAGAAATTCAATATCGCTGTCGTCCGGAATTTCCTTGAAGGTTCGAAACCTGCTGTAACCGGTACGGCGCCTGATGCTGTGCCACTCCACGGGGTCCGTGTTAAGCATAGGGTACGGTTTAATATCCTGACATTCCCGCTCCGAATGGGTGATGATGGCGTCAGTTTGCTTCCAGTAGAATTCTTTTTGACAGCGTATGCACTTTACTGTGCCGCGATGATTATATTCCATTATGGCTAATAAATACCGATCATTGATGATTATACTCTTCATGGTCTGGTTCTTTTGGCGCAGCAGGGCGCTTTCATGGTTGTTTAACAATGTAGTAGCCGTTGTTTCGTAGTCGTTGATTTCGTCACTCTCATCAAAAAGCCAATCAAGGTTATCAGGCGCATCGCAATTATAATGTACATGACAGCTGTTGGTGATTGCTCCTTCCATCGTGAATGTTAGAAAATCAGCGTTACTGAGACGCGCGACGCCGACGAGGTGACGAGCACACAAGCAGTGACACGCATATTTGTATTCATTAGGAATTTATATACTGACATGCAGTAAACAGTAGTTGTAGTGGGGCGGGCGCTGGGTGGGCTTTAAGTGTGCATGCAAAATTAGCTCCGCCACGAGGATGTCCGGTGGGCGTTAGATAGGAAGAGCTGATGATTGCCATGACTCAGACAAGGGTATAAAAGCGCGTGCAGCACCGCAGACCAGCTGTTTGTGCACACTCGTGCATTATCGCAGGCTTATTATGCTAGTCGTACTTTTGCCGGCAATTGCTAGAGCAAATTGCATTAGGAGCAAAAGGAAGTACCAAAATCGCGGTTTGATTAGCGTTGCCAACACATTCCTATTCACTTTCTTTGTCTGTCATGACGCCCCCACCACCGCCACTACAAGCAAAGAAAATCAGCAACCGCCGTGTCTCAGAAAAAACAATCACGAAGGCGACCAAAAAACCGCAGCAAATTTCCGAAGCAAAATTAGCCAGGTTGTACGAGAAGCGAAGAACAATTCAAGATGTTTCACAGTTATATCGTCAAACGCGCCACATTTCTTTTTCTTACAAATTGTTTATGCGGCGAACAAAAGAACTGACCGCGACAACGAAGACGACAACGGCGGTGACGACGACGACGACAACAACGAATAACGCTAGAAGAACAACAACAACCACAACAACCACACAACCTTCATCATCCTCGCCAGTGAATAAAGTTATACAGAATCCATCTGAATTTTATAATCTCAAAGCCATTACATCACGCCATAGTAAGAAGTACGGTGTCTGGGCGGGAAATTTTCAAATAAAAATAGCAGAACTGCCCTTGCATGGTGTGGACACGGTGCTACCGGTATTTCTGTCTGTTTTGGAACATATTTTCAAAAAACTTCGTGATTTTGTGCCTAACAAAGAAGATTTAATTAGTATATCGTTGGAGTCATCTCAGCTCTCTCATCCCATCCAGCTTAAATTATCCACCCAGGATCAAGTGAACGCAGAGATGTTTCTGTACTTGATTGCAAATACTCTAACTTCGAAAACGGAATTCTCTTTAGGTTTACCGGTTTACATTAACCTACTACGCGTGCCCCGGCAACCGACAGGGAAAGGTGCAGGTGCAACCGGCGCCAACATCAACACCATCACAACCACCACCACAGAGAGTAGAAGACAAGACCGCCATTTTCGTAACCTTTTGAAAGCGCCTCGAGGCGGCGGAATTGTTAACGTAAAAAACAACGATAGTCTCTGCTTTGGCCGAGCGCTAGCTATTGCCATTGCCCATGCGTCACAACTTCACAAGGTTGACAAGAGGAAGTGGAAAGAACTCTGTGACAGCAGGAAACAGCTACAGAAAGTGGAAGCAATAAAGCTGTACCAGGCAGCAAAAGTACCGCTCGGAGCTGTGTCATACAGTGACTATTCGGCTTTTCAAGCCGTACTTCTTCCAAATTACGCGCTGTACGTACATAAATGCCCTGATGCGGAAACGGGATTGTTATATAACGGCACAAACATCAAGTGTCCAAAAAGCTTGCATCTTCTTTTATCTAACAATCACTATGCGGCAATCACCAAACCGGCGCGATTTTTTGGAAAGAGAAAACAATGCAATTTTTGCGACGGCTATTTTACCAAGCTTCACCGGCACCGATGCCGAAAAGCTTGTTTTAACTGCCAGAGAAAGGATTGCGAATTCGAGAGAGAAATAACTTGTGGGGATTGTCAAAGAAGTTTCAAAAACTCAGAATGCTTCCGCCTACACAAAACACAAAGGTCAACAGCAGCACCAACCACGGACTGTGAACTCCGTCGAAAGTGCGCTGACTGCAGCCTGATCATCTACATGGATAAGGGGCGACATCCGGCCAATCCCGTTCACCAATGCGGCGAATATTATTGCCGCAGCTGCAAGCTTGTTGTTGATCCCTACCATCGTTGTTACGTGCAAGTAAACGAGAGCAAGCCGAAGCCCGAACGCCAGTTTCTTTACTGCGACTTTGAAAGCGATATAAGCAAAGAATATCATATCCCAATCGCTGCCGTAGCCGTTGATGACGCCGGAAAAGCGACGCGATTTTTCGGGAAGAATGCCGGGGAAAAATTCTGCAATTGGCTTTTCCATCCACGGCACCGCAATCACATTGTTGTTTTCCATAACCTTATGGGATATGACGGGAACTTCATTATGCAGCACCTTCACCGTAAACACTTATGGCCGCACGTCATCATGCGAGGTCTGAAGTTTCTTCAGATTAAAGTAACCGCGAATAATATCATCCTACGAGATTCCCTTGCATTTTTGCCTATGAGTTTAGCCGATATGCCGGCTGCATTTGGTTTCAACGCAGCCAAAGGCTGTTTTCCCTTTCTGTTTGCGCGTGAAAAACATTTCAACTATGTAGGACAGATTCCATCAGAGCACTACTACCTGACAAGCCAGATGAAGACCAAGCACTACAAGCAATTTAAGGAATGGTACGACGCGGAAGTTACCGCAGGGAAAATGTGGAATTTTTCTCAGGAGATCCTAAAATATTGTACCAACGATTGTCATGTACTGCGGGAGGCTTGCCAGAGATTCTGCGAAAGTATAAAGGCACTTTGTGGAGGGTATAA